ATTAGTCTCAGCAAGCCAACAGCTGTCCCCTGAGGTTCAAGCTGATTTCTCTCTGCAAGGCCCAAGCTGAGATCTCTGACCTCCTGCTGGGTTGAATTCTGCAAAGTTCTGCTGTGGGTTCCAGATGTTTTTCCCCTGAAGTCAGACCAGGTTCCAATGTAATGTACTGGTCCCTCCGACTTATCGACTATGGTGCTGTGGTGTGCCTTTATTGCAGATTTTCTTCACTTTTCCAGGGGGCTTCACCTTTCATCTAGGAGCCTCAGAGAGGCCCTCTTTCTCTTGTTCATGGTGGGGGGGTCACAGACACTGCTGTGTTGGTGCCAATGTGGCTGGGATCCTCTGCCACATTGAGCCAAAGGGGCGGGCCTAGCAGAGGGTCTCGTTCTGCTTCTATGCTCCTCTGTTCCTCCACACCTAAGAGGCAGATCCAGGTATAGAATTTTCTATTTGTGGTGTTATCTTGGTACTCGATGATTCAGAATTTGGCACAATTTGGGTTTGGACTTCAGGTTAAGAATGTTTAACTTTATCTTCATTCATGTTAATAAGATGAAAGTGAAATAACGAAAGGCATACATGTGAGAACTTCACCTCTTTCTCATTGAACTGAGAAACTTCTCTGCCGAAATAGTGGTTTTTTAATGATCTAGAATGCTTCCTCAACCTTTGTGCAATAGACAAGAGACAGTTAATTTCACTTCGCATTATGTTAATATTTTTCCACCACTTTAAGTCTAAGTAAAGAGTGAGAGAATAAATCATGTGCTAATTTGTAGTATTTGGAGATTGTCATGGTATAAATACTCCCACTGCTGCTGATTTCAAACCACCAACATGATACATCACCAGCCACAGGGCTGGAAAAAAAGGCACACTTTTATACAGTATTTTCACAAGATAGATACAATCTCTGTGAATAACCTGAGGAGCATAGATAATAATAACATAATAACTGAGGAGTGGTAGTTTTGAGTATTTATTGCCTTTGCTTTAATATAGTTTAATTTTATCATGTAATTTTAATAGTGGCTGTGCTAACAATCAACTTTCAATCTTTTGAAGATACACAGATCAGTTCAAGAGAGGAGGGATATGCCAGCTCAAGCACACAAGTATTAAGCTGTCTGTTATTGCCTACTACATCTATTTTCTCTCTATCTTCTGTCTTCCTAGTGGTCACCATGCTCATGATAAAGTACTATGTCTGAGCAATTTTGTTTATAGCCCCCGTGTGCCTCCTCATATTGTAAATCCAAATTCATTGACCATCCTTCTGACAATCTAAATGCACAGACCCTGGCATTTCAGGGAGAGATCCTTGGGTGAGGCTTTCAGGATTCAGTCTCCAACAGATGCAGCACTTTCCTTACTGTCACAGATTATGGATGTACATATGTGCCAGCACATTGAGGGTCTTCCCAGTTAGGTCCTAATTTCACTGGTTTGGGTATACAGTTTGTCATAATTTGCATGCTTGGCTATTGCTCATTTTCCTTGAAAATGGTATTTCTTACCTGTTTCTTACCATTTTGGAGGTTTTTTTTTTTTATTTCAAGGAATACATTGGGATGCAAACACATTTTCTAGGCATTTCTAGGCACATTTTTCTGTAGTAAAAACTCTGCATTTGGTCTTAAATTTAAACATCTTTTGTTCAAGAGCCAAGTTGCTCATTACATGTAATGCCTTAACTATATACAATTTAAAAGAGGTTTCATAAGAAAATGCAGTGTAGCCACAACAAAATAAATGCCCTTCACAGACACAAGTGCTGAGTATATGGAGAATAATTACAGTGGTGAAAAAACATTTATATGTTAGGAAATTCACTGATCTTATACAAACGTTTAGAGAACTAGATCTTTTTAATCCTCAAATGAAACGTATTACACATATTATATAATGATAAAAAATGAAGAACTTTCCGCATATGTTTCCCATATAATTGGAAGAAACAGTTTTTAAGGAGGGAAAACAATAACACTGACTCACAATCAAGTCATTCCAAAGTGGCGGATTGTGTGGCATTTATTCCCCATTTGTAGAATATTTACAAGGGGAGAGGGAAGGTCTACATCATTCCCACAAAGTCTTTTTGCTGAAAGGAAACATGTCATTGGACAGAGAGTTACAGAGGAAAAAACAGAGGTATGTGATTACATGCTTAAGTTTATTTTGTTTTTTTCCTACATATTTGTTTCAGAACACTTGGAGATATATCCTAACATATCTGCATGCTATTTCTTCTTCAAATTTTACCTCCATAAGAGAGAAAGAAGACAACATGACCTACAGCAAGATAACAAAAATAAATAGTTTCTTGGAAGGACAAATAAAAGCTACGTGAGCAGTGAGCCGTGTGGCATAGATTCATTCAATATGAAACTACTTATCAGGCCAAAAGTGGGCTATCTTCCCACAGGAAGTTGTAAGGCGGATGTGCTGGTAAATCTTATCTGCAGAGGAAGATGGATGCTCCCTAGAATAACACTGACTCCATCAAGTTTGCACAGAAGAGTTTTCAGATAAATGCCTTTCCACAAGTAATCTTCTCTCAAAATGCAGCCTCCAGACATGAGAAGCCAGAGGAATGGCTTAGGGCTGCGGAACGGAACTTTCTGAACATGCACAGTAAAGAATGCAAGTCTTTGTAATTGAGAAATGAGATCACTTTGAAAAATAAATGTCTAGAAACAGAGCAATTGCGCAAGTAGGCATGCCTTTGGAGCCTCAAGGAAAAAAAAAATGCATTCTCGAAATTAATCTTTACATCTGTTTCCAGAGCCCTCATTCAGAAGTTGACACTTTCATACAAAGAACACCCTAGTGCTGACTGTGACAAGCAGGCGGCATTGCCAGCAATTTACTAGCAACCCATAAATCTGTGGGAAACCCTCTACAACCACCCTTCCTGAACTCTAGCAACCTGTCCTTGTCCCCTGAAATTTGGAAACTTAGAGAGAAGAGAGAAAATAAAAGCAACATAAAGTGTGAGAAGAAAATAGCCCAATATATAAAATAAAACACAAAAGCAGACTGGATTATGCCAGGGAGCCATCTGCACAGCTGAAGGCTTCTTAGGGCAAAAAGGCTCCACTGTTTTTGAATCAATTGCTTCCTATTCACAGGCTCACTGTATAGAGCTAAATTCAAAATGGCTCTCAGGAAATTCTTGCCAATCCTGTGGTCTGATTTTAGGCTCTATTTTTCCCTTTCTTTTTAAGACCCGAGAATGTAAGTATGTATCAGTGCTGTAAACTTGCCAGTGTTCACTGGAATGAGTCAAAGGGACCTGGCATTCAATCACAGGGATTTGAGTTGCTAATAAATACAGCAGGCCCTTCCATTGTTGATTAATTCTGACTGAAATCTAAACACCAAACAACAAACACTCTCTGAACTGCTCTGGTACCCATTAGTTTGATGTGTTTATTAGACAGGGCTGTGTTCTTTCAAGTTTATTAACAACAGATTAAAAAACTGCAAACAAATCTAGGTTTCTTTTTATGATTTAAAAGTGCGAGTACCATTTACAAATGTTTTTAGGGTTTGACAGTAAATCCAAACAAAGCTAAAAAAAATACCATCATGTCAAATTAAAATCTTGGTACAAAATATGAATAGTCACCATCAATGTGCAGCTGCTGTTACTCAGACAAATAACCAAGCCTATTTAATGTTATAACTTTTACAATTGTCATTTTTAAAAACAATTCATCCTTGAATAGGGATCCAAGGAGTATTGTAGGAGATGTAAATCTTTACAAGTAATGTGCTTTATTGATTACATGTAAAGATTATAGAGCTTAATAAGATATTTCCATGGTATTTAACTATATCTACCATATAGCAAGGTTCCTGTGGATCATTATGAATGAATTGAATCAGCTAATATATGCCGGTGAATATAGAACAAGCTGTATATTATTTATTAGTAGTATTTGGAAGTTTTAAAAATATAAACACATGCATCCATGCAAAAATAATCAATAGTGCCTGGTAATCAAAGATTCAAGAGATCAAACACTGTAAGAACAAGTTTTCAAACCTTTTGAATGTACTTCCTCTGATTATAAAAGTATGGATGAATCTTCGAAAGTGTCCAAATTATATATATTTTTAACACCCTGGTAGAAGTTGTGAAAGTCCAAGAGAATCCAAAAAAAAGTTCAATTACTCCTATTTCAAATTTTTCAGTGCAAAGATGTAGTGGCACATAGCCATATTTATAATCCCAGGAAAATTAATATAAAAGATATTTACCTGAACTGATTTGGCTGATTTAAAGACTACTGCTATCCTGTGAATAAGTTTCACAATTATGTAAATCTTAAATAGGTGTTAAATAATATGTGAGGGAAGTGGCATTCCTGTTTTGGTGAAGGAAAACACTTTTCATCAAATCTAGAGCCTTGGGAAATCCACAAGTTCATGTGAGGCAACATCCTGATTTAAAAGCCTTCCATAAGTGCATCTGCTGTTGCATTCACAAAATATTCCAACCCAAATCTGTCACTTCAATATCTGGATTTTCCCCAGAGCTTCCCAGACCACCAGAGCTCAGCTCAGCAACTCCAAAATTAAATCATTCCCTCCTTTAATTCTAAATCATGTCCTCTTAATTTTTACATCATGTAAACTACTAAACTGTTATTCTTTGTGAGGGTTTTTTGTTCCAGAAGAGCATAACAGCCATGATAGCAAAGAGTAGAAGGCAAGAATAGCCCACTGTGAATTGTTTGGTCCAGACTACCTAAAGGTTACTATTATTATGGTTGCATTGGTCATAATTATGATTATGGCAGACAAAAGTAGTGTTTGGGTTTATGACATTGGTAACCAAATACTTTTTACCAAAAGACAGTATTATAACTATTTCAAAAAACATATGGTATGAAAAATATAGTGTTGGATCTAAAATGATGAAGACTCCAACATTTCCTTTAAAACACTCATTGTCAGTTCTGGAAGTGGCTATCTGAGGTAGTGTGGTAATGGTGTGGTCTTCGCGAGATTCCACCATGGCATACTGGGGCCCGGGCCAGAAAGTGCAGAAGGTGGTGGTGCAGCTCACCAACCTCATCTTCAGATACTTGCAGAATAGGTCCTAGACTCAGGAGTAGCTCTATAGGCAAGTGCATCTGCAGATAGAGGGCTGTATTACTGGTTTTGTTGAGTATGCGAACCTTGTATTAAATGATGCAGAAGAAACTCATTTTTTTAAAAAAGCAAGAAAACAGCTGGGCCTGATCACGCTGAAAGGATATAAGATTCCTCTGCTACAAAGTGTCTCCAACTAGAAATGATCAGTGAATTAAGAAGACAGCAGTGAAGTGAGGTGGCAATTATGATGTGTGAAAAATGTAGCCATTTAAGTGGTTTGTCCTGGGAGTATTTGTAAAATGTTTGTTTATATTGTTTTGATTACCCTTGTTATTACTGGACTGCAATAAATGTTGTAAGGTTGTTTTATTTTTAATTTTTTTTTTTTTTAGACAGGGTCTCACTATGTAGTTGAGACTGACCTGGAACTCACTATGTAGCCCAGGCTGGTCTCGAACTCACAGCGATCCTCCTGCCTCAGCCTCCCGAGTGCTGGGATTACAAGCATGTGCCCCCATGCCCTGCTTATTTTTTAAATTTTTTAAACACCTTGCCATGCTTCCTCTAGCACACACTGGCCATAGACGACTGATTGATATTTGATAGAGCAAAGAAGAGAAAAGAAGAGAGGAGGGGAATGGAGAAGGGGCAGGGATGGGGTGAGAATCAGTGTACTGAAGCGTATCATAGTAAAATCAATCAACTAATACTTTCAATAGTGAAAGCCAACAAAACTGAAAGAATAAAGGGTAAGTGACTGATTACCAACAGTTAATTACTTAATATCCTTCTATCAATTTAAAAAATGCACGCATTAAAAATTTAAGCTTACACTGTCAATTCTGAGAAATAGATGGATATCATTACATCAGAACATTGTTCAAGATGCAGGCAGAAAATGGAGGAAATTTATAGAAAAAAAATCATCTAATTTTATTTCAGTTGAAACAAAATTATTTGATAAGAAACAAAATTATGTTTTGAGTTGAAATACAAGGCTCTTAATAATGTGGCCTTATACAAAATTTCCATGTTTATTTCCTGTGGTGACTGATGGTGCCCTGATTTTCAAACCATATCATCTGGGGCCCTGTCCTTCACAATTTATAGAATGCCTTCCCTCTCTAGAAATCTGTTAGTATTAAACCAACTCTCCAAAGTCCACCTCAAGGCAGGGTTCATGAAAAGGCTAGAAAGTAGACCAATGACCTTGATCCAGAAGGAAATCTAGCTGAAGAATAAGCATAATTACATGAACTAAAATAACTCAGAAATGTGGTCACAAGGGCAACAAGGCCGTGGAACTCTGTTCTATCAACTAAAAATGAATAATTATTTACTTGTGCATTTGATGCTGAGTACCATGCTACTCTCTAGGTGTTGTATTAGCTGCCACCCTTTCCTGGTCCCCAGGTTTATCCTCAACCACTATTCTGAATTTCATTTCTGTTTTTTTCATTTTTGTATTTTGTATTTTAGATTTTGGGGGTCGGGAGAGTTCCTTATTTTTCAGGCCCAAATATATATTTTTAAATCCTCAAAACAAATAATTTACAGCCTTGATGATCAGTAACTGGTACATAGACAAGGCTCAATGGTTCCTAGTCAAATGAAAACACAAAACTAACCTTTACAGAATGAGACCCAAGTACAAATTTCATGTTCAGCACCACTAGGAGATAGTAAAGCCCATCACAAAACTTGCGAAAGGATTCGCAAAACAGCAGAGGTGGGGCAAGGACTAAGAGGTATATGACAGGGCTAAGAGGACTACAGAAAGGGTCAGCAAAGCCACTGTGCTTCTCAGAAGAGAGGGGTACTCTGATATAAAGCTAAATCCTGTTTTCACAAAAGATGTAAGAGTATGTTCTGTCTGGTTTCAGGAATGTTTTTGTGCCTGATTTGGTTCCAAGGCAAAAGACACAAAGAACAATGAGAAATCACACAAATAGCAATATTTGAAGAGAGCAAGGAAGAAATGAGAGAGAGAAACCTTCCCCAATAAGAAGCACACATCAAAGACACTCCCCAAAAGGCTGCCGCTATCCATAGAAAATGTAAAGGCTAGCAGGAAGCCTGGGTTACAATAAAAATTTCAATTATTCTGAAACCAACACTTACTCCATGTGGCCTCCCATAAATTGCCGAAAAAAACTGAAAAAAAATCTCATTTCATTCAAAAACAGCTTAGCAAAAAGGGTATGCACAATATTCAATTAAAAGTAAAAGGAGTTGGGGCAGGGATGTAGCTCAGTAGTGACTCAGCTTGCCTTGCAAGCAGAAGGTCCTGAGTTCGATCCTTGGTACCAAAAAATAAAAAAATAAAAATTCAAGGAATAGGATATACAAATGACAAACATGAGTGTCTCTAAAAATGTCACCACCAAGGAGATATATAGCATACACATTTTTGCTATTAACTTAGGAACCACACAAATATTTCTGTGATGCTACAGAACAAAGCTATAAATTCAAAATGCAAGAACTCAAGGAAGAGTGAGACTACTGGGGGAAATAAAATATGAAAGTACAGCTCAAGAAAGGAACAAAGAAATAAAATAAGATGACCACAGAAATGAAGGTGAAATTAGAACTGAGCAAGAAAAGGCTGACAGTTGAATGAGTCAGAAGCTAAAAAGAAAAAAAAAATCAACCAACAAAAAATGGAAATAGTTTTTTTAAAAGAATAAGAAAATGTTAACAAAATAGAAAAATCTTTCATAACTTAAATAGTAATAATAAAATAAAACATATCAAGAAACTATCCTGAAATAAAAGAGCATTTGAATCCATAAGCTAAAGTATAAAATTTGTTTGAAGAAAAATTTGCCCAAGTCAAAAATGGAAATCTGAAATCAACAGACATTTCTCATACAAAGAATAAAAGCAGCAAATAAACATATGGAAAAATGTTCCACATCACTGGTCATTTGAGAGATGCAGATGAAAACAACACTGAGATTCCATCTCACCCCACAAGGAATGGCTGCTATCAAGAAATCAACCAATAACAAATGTTGGCGGGGTTGTGGGGAGAAAGGAACCCTTCTCCATTGTTGGTGAGAGTGCAGACTGGTGCAACCACTGTGGAAATCAGTATGGAGATACCACAAACAACTAAGATTGGAGGTCCCATTTGACCCAGCTATCCCTCTGCTGGGTATCTTCCCAAAAGAATTAAAAGAATCACACAACAGTGATATATATACTCACCCTTGTTTATAGCAGCACAGTTTGTAATAGCTAAAGTTTGGAAACAGCCCAATTGCCCATCAACTAGAGACTAGATAAAGAAGATGTGGTTTTTTTTCAATAAAATGGAATACTACTCAGCCATAAAGAATGATAAACTAGAGATATTTATAACTAAGTGGATGCACATTGAGACCATATTCTTAAATGAAATTAATAAGTCACACATGTGCAAATACCAAATAGTTTCTCTGGCATGAAAAATGAAAAGTGTAAATAAGGATCAAAATATACAATTAATTTTTTTTCTTATTGAGTTTATCGGTACATTTTAGGTACACAGTACAGTTACATTCATCATTGGGATCTTGTACCTTTACATGACAGGTCTTGGTTCTCATTTTTTCCCCTTATCCCTGACCTCCCTTCACCCCCTCCTAACCTCCCATTTACAAACACTTCATTTCCATTTTTTCTTTTTCTCATATTTTTTTCCTCTCCCTTATTACCTTTCCCCTACCCTTCCCACTTTCCCTACACCTTTAGCCCCTTTATTCCTATTTCACATTGTTAATTATATCACTAGGATCTTATGTATAATTAATATTGTGTAATAGGAAGAAATGAACTAAAAGAGTAGAGGAAGTGGGAGGGGGAGGGGAAAGGTAAGAAGGGAAAAGAAAAAATATGAGAAGAGGAAAGACTTGGAAACAAAGTCTTTGTAAACAAGGAAAGGTGGAGGGGGTGAAGAGAGGGCTAGGGAATGGGGAAAAATAAGAACCAATATAAGTCTTGTAACAGTACAAGACCCAATGATGAATACAACTGTATTATATACCTAAAACGTATCAACAAACTTAATAAAGATTTTAAAAAAGAAAAATTGGCCTATGAGTAATAAGGAGACAGGTCCTACTAAAAGTGAAAGAGGGGCCGGGGATTTAGCTCAGTGGCTCGGTGGCCTGCCTTGCAAGTGCAAAGACTGGGAATTCAATCCCCAGTACCAAAAAAAAAAGTGAAAGAGAAAAGAAAGTAGATATTGTAGGGCCAGGCAAAAATACCAGTCTAGAAGACAGAAAAAGTCAATCTGACATACTTCTCAAAAGGTCCTGCACCCTGTATCTTGAGCCAAAAATATAGAATCCTGAATTTTTCATTTTGAGTAAATTCTCTAACATATCCAGAACCAGTCATCTTACTTCACTTTTAGTTTTTCATTACAACCTTAATAGTCTAACAGAATAATAGCTACTTGGTCTGACAAACACACATTTAATAGAGCACCTGTTTCAAGGATATAACAATTTACACTTTCACTCTTTTGCCATGAAACACAAGTATCTCATTTTCCAGTGGTGGCCACATTCAAATCCAACCAGGTCAGAAAAACCAATCCCAGTTTCCTGTATTAAAGGTTTCTTGCCATTACCAACTCCTACTATTAAATCTTAAATATTATTATATACACAAAGTTTCAACCCAGTAAATTAAAATATTCTAATTATGTACTGTGGCTTGAACGTCCTCTCTACACCTTATGGTGAAATGTAGTTGCCACTATAATGGTACTGGGAAGTGGAATCTTAAAGAAGTGACTAAGTCATTGTGGCTCTGCTGTCATGAAGGAGTGAGTTAGTTGTCATGGCAGTGGGCTCCTGTTAGAAAGAATGAATTTCTTTTGATATTCTCACTGTGTGTCATGTGTGTTCACTTGCCTTCCACCACCTTATGACACAGTATGACGACCCTTGACGAAGGTCAGTCCCATGCCCTTGACCTCCCAGCCTCTAGAACTATGGACCACATAAACTTATTTTCTTTATAAATTACTCAGTCTGTGATAGTCTATCCTAACAAGAAAAAACAGACTAAGACACTATTTTGAGCACTATTTCACCCAGGAAATGAGGGGCTTTCAAAATCACTGATATCTGCAACAATAGGAGTTAGGAGTCCACTTCTGGAGATATCATGGGGCAACTCCGGAAATCAAGAAGCCTCAGCA